TTTCATAGTCTTTTCACACATTTTGAACATTCACAGTGCTGGCATTTGAGGAAAAAATATGAATATGTTTCAACCCTATTGATTGTGCAACAATTAATGTTATGCTAATATACTAATTAAATGTTAAAATATTAATTTTAAAAACATTCAACTTTTAATTCTAATAATTATTCAATTATATATATGATACTATTAGTCTAATATTTAAAATGTGAAATAGCTTATCAATTATTTATTAAAAATTATTGATATAGTATTGAGCAATAGCAGCAAAATTTAAATTTTTGAATACCTAATAAATTTATTAAAACCTAACTTCATTTTACAAAAAAATGCCTTTAATTTTGGTTTTAAGATAATTTATTATTTTTTGGTGTTATAATATGAGTACCTATTGAGTACAGTAATATAAAAATGTATGGACAAAGTTAGGGTTGCCATAAATTTATGAGACGAAACCGGGACAAAAATTATTGAATATTATACTTTTTTATAACTTTTAATATATTGAGAGGACTATTGGTGTAGGTATACAAAGGGATGATGTGGTGGTCAGATGCCCCTAGGCCTTTTTAAAATGTTATAAAATAATGTTCTTTGTGTGAGGTCATTAGAAACGTAAAAAAAATAATGATTTGTTTGCAAATGATCACCCCCCACCCCCATACAAAAGTCACGTATACGTCACTGAAGAGGACCATTAATAGCCGGCAATATAATATTTAAAAATCTTTTCGTAAAATAAAATGTATTATATGTGTAAATTACAAATTACCTATGTTTTTATTATATATTGTAATCTATTACGATTAAAAATGTACTTTAAGATTAACTGGTCGAAATTAAAAATCAAACAATACTATATTTCCTCTAGATGTCTAAGCTGGGACATATGGACGTCCCGTAAACATTTTTCGGGACACGAAGTCTAAAACCGGTGACAATCCCGGTTTTCCGGGACGTATGATAACCCTAGGCAAAGTAGGTGAATGCCGTGGTCCATAGGTTACAAGGGGGCTTCAAAAATGTATTAACTTTTCGTAATTATTGCATTACATAAGAACACAATTGAAAATATTTATTTATGAGTTTTATATATTAGAGTATTTATTTTTACTTAAATAATTATTTTATTATACCTGGTTTAATTACAAACAAGTAACATTATTATTGGAACTCCATTTTTTTTTTCAAATATTGAGCCATGGGCTTTCTTTTTATCTATTTACATCACTGATAGATTCTAAATCACCTTTTATCTTAGATTGTGAACAATGAGCACATAAAAGTTGTTGGTTTGTAGCCCAATTATATTAACTAGATTAAATACATTTATTTAAAATTTTCTCTGAATCCTTTGGGACGGAGTCTCGTAATGGAGTGTAGTAGTATTCGTGATGGTGGTTCACAACTAGGGTTGGCAAAAACCCGGACTTTATAAATAAAACTCCGAAACCCGGTGGGTTTATTATAAAATAATGTGTGGTTTTATCAGTTTTTTTTTTTTAAATAATTTTTCCGAATAAATTGAAAACATTTTTTCCATGAATTAGTAATTGTTAATTTTTTTTTGGATTATACTTTTAGTATATACAGAAAAGTTACCCAATACCATTGATTAAATATATATTTAATCAAAGCTAATACCTTATTAAAAATAAAAGATTCTTAACATTTCTATTGACCGTTGGTGTGTAATTTTTTCCATTAGATAATTTTAATTGTATCTACCTAATTAAAAAAATAATTATTGCTTTTTTTCAATTCAGTTTAATATCTTAAATAAAAAAATAAATAATATCTAAATGGTAAATTTTTCTGAAAATGAACACATATTTTTATATTAGGCTAAAAAAAAGATTGAATTTCTATTTATCCAGAAAAGAAACCCTGGTTTTAAGGGTTTTTGTTTTCAAAATAATGAGTGGGTTTAACTCAAAAAAAACAGCTAGGGTATTTTTATGGATTTTTTAAAATATTAAGTGAGTTTAACCCAGAAAAGCAGTCTGGAGATTTTTTTCTATTTATTTAACGAGATAGGTAGAGGTTTGTCTGATCGGCATTGTCGTCGTCCGGGTTGTGGCTGGATAGAAAGCAGGTGCGGGTCTGCAATAGTGGTATACGTGATAAACCTAGATAGGCTTAACTTAACTGATTTCTAAGAATTTTTAATTTAATAACTTTTCCGGTAAACAATTTAGAAAAGTTAAAAAATATTTTATATTATTCAAGTAATATACATTTTCATAAATTAACCTTAAACTTTATTGTCAAGCTGTTTTTTTTTCAAGTTTCAACAATTGGATGGTAATTGGTCGTGACAGATGAAGAATGGAAAGATAAATAAATTTGATAAAAAGAAAGATTAGATATTAGAATAAAGAAAATGATAAATAAGTTTATATAATAAAAGATTATTTAAAAAAATCAGTCAAAAACAAACAGAATATAAAAAATTATATTTAATATTTTTTAAATTTAAATAAAAAAGTTATGGAAATCAATTAATTTAAAGACCCCATTTGAAAAAAATTTTTTTTGAATAATGCCAATAAGATATTAAGAGTCTTTCTCTTTTTTCTTTTGTTTTAAAAAAGGTTTATGTAGAGTATTATATAATTGTGTTGCTTTATGCTGAGCAAACCCTGGACACAATGCCAATGCTGTTTGAGAAGCTTCACATATTTTTTCTAATGAACCAAATGTAGACAGCAACAAAGCTGCATCAGTTTTGTTAACAGCACGAATAGTTGTAAGAGCATTGACCAACTATAATTATAAAATAGGTAAAAAAATATTATTTTATGAGAAAAATATAAATTAAACTTACTCTGGAATAGTCATCTCCTTCTATTTTTTCCATTATAAGATCTGGTGGTTTGTTCTCAAATATTTTATAAGTTTCAATAAGCTTGCCTGCCTCTTCAAAAGTCCAAGCCAACATTAAAGTAAGATCAGCTACCAAACACATTCTAGTTAGTTTTGCAAGAGCTGTATGTGGTTCTTTGACATCAACTTGAAGTAACAATACACGTAATTCATACAGTTTTCCTAAGGATTTCACTCGATTATAAATGTAGTCAGGTTTTAGCATGTGATACCGCAGGGACAAATATAATGCACAGGTTGTACGTCCCATTACATAATCAGGTATAATATCATCTGAATATTCCCATGGTACATTTACAATTGATTTGAGTAAAGGGTTCCCTTTCTAAAAACCAACAAAAACTAATTTACAACCATTTACTTGGGTAACAATACCTTTTAAGTTGTAAAATATTTATATACTTGTCTATTATTAACTAATACACCGGTAAAAGATGCAGCTTTTACAGGAGATTGTTTAACACCACTTGTACTGGGTTGATAGATTGTCTCTAAATTGTTCTGCCCAACTGAATTGATTGATTCATAATGTTCTGATGCTTTAACTTTACAAAACTCATCTATCATAACAAGCATATTTTTTTGATGAATAATACATTTTATATAAAAGCATATTACAATACTTCAAAACAATAATTAATTTACCAGCAAATGAACCTGGATTATTCATATTTTATCAATATTCTACCTTTGTTTACAATTATACTTGAAGAAAATACTTTTACCAAATATAATAATCAAAATACAGTTTAAATTGTGTAAGATATTAAAATAAAGAAGTACTTAGAAACAAATTAAAAAATACCTAAAAATACTTCATACGTATTTTGTACTCAGATTTCTGTTTAAATTATTATAATTCCAACCTAAGATGGTTGATAATCGTATGTTTTTGATGATAAGACCACAGATTATATTTATTTTATGTAATCTGCGATAAGACCGTAAGTGAAAGATATAATGATAATGTTGATAGTAATTCAGAATTGTTAAATACTAAAAACTTTGAATTATTATTTTTCATAAAGTTAATTAAATTAATTAATTTGTTAATAAAATTATTTTATTATTGATTGGTTTTTAATTTTTGCAAAGTGTTTTTTCTTTTTATTTTTGAACGGGCTATACTTAAATAAAATTAAATAATAGGTATACATTTGTACGTATTTACAACATTTTATTCAAACACTCTCCTTTAATACAGTCTACAGGAGTTTTTCTCGACCTTTTTAATTTTGCATACCCTTGAGATCATCTTGTATACTACAGGTTGATAAATGCTGATCTACAGTATAAAATCATATTTTTTGATTATATAATTTTATATTGACTGTTTTATTAAAAATATATTATTCCAACATGTTTATCATAACTATTAAATTAGTCTATTACTAAGATATAAAACAAAGTCTCACACAATGACCTACTTTATTCCATCTATCCATAGCTTCTTAACCCTCTTGGTCTTTTTCCTGTGGGTTTCCATTTGACTACTGCTTTTAGTTACTATAAGTCTAACTTTCTCATCATGTGCCCAAACTATTTGATTCTCAATGCTTTCATAAAGTTGGTTATCTTTGGAACTTGTGTCAATTATGGGAACTAATATTTAATAACTGATAAAATAATTAAATTTCAAATTGATTCACTACAAATATATGTATATATTGATATATTACAAACTATATATTGTGTTTGTAATAATTAAATTCTAAATGTAAACATATTGATATCAGCTACCTGATTAAAATTGTTATTATTTAATTACTCTTTGAACTTAATATATAGGTAGTATAAAATATTTTAAATTATTATTTTCTAAAAAAAATTCACTATTGTGACCAAACTTGTAAATAAAATATAGGTTTTTAATTAGTCTAATTTCAAGGTTTTCTTTTAAAAATGTTTTCTTAAATATAATAATAATGTACTATAGTTATAGTTAAAAAATCCATTTTCAAAAGTATTGATATTTTTGGATTAAGCTTATATATTAAACTATACAAATTTTAAATATTTAAATTTTTTTTTTTAATTTTTAATTAGCGTTAAAAATAATTTAGTTCTTACTTAAAATAATTTTTATATTATAAATTAAAAGAAAATTCTTTGTAATATATTCTTTAATAATATTTATATATTGAATGTGCATTTTAATTTGTTTTACAGGAAAGATAAATTTGAATACTATTTACTAATAAGATGGGTGAACGTAAAGGACAAAATAAATACTACCCACCAGATTACAATCCTGCTGTAGGAGGGTTAAATAAATTCCAAGGAACTCATGCTTTAAGAGAACGTGCTCGAAAGCTCCATATGGGTATTTTAATAATTCGTTTTGAAATGCCATATAATATATGGTGTGATGGATGCAACAATCATATTGGAATGGGCGTTCGGTAATATAAACATAAATTTCAACAGTATAATTATTTAATCAAAATCAAATTATCAGGTATAATGCAGAAAAAAAAAAAATTGGGATGTACTATTCAACTCCAGTTTATCAATTCCGAATGAAATGTCATCTTTGTAATAATCACTTTGAAATTAAGACTGATCCTGGGGTAATAATAAAATAATATTATGTAGTTAGTATTAGTTTTGATGTATTTTTTAATGGTGTAATATATTAGAATTTAGATTATGTAATTGTCAGTGGTGCTCGCCGACAAGAAAATCGATGGGATCCTTTTGAAAATGAACAAATTGTTCCAGAAGATAAAGATACTAGTAAACGATTGTTTGATGATGCCATGTTTAAACTTGAACATGGTACTGAAGATTTAGACAAGGCCAAGAAAGCGGCACCAATACTAGTTAAGCTTCATGATGTACAAGATGCTAAATGGAATGATGATTTTGCTGCTAATTCATTACTAAGACAACAACTAAGAGCAAGATTCATATTAAAAAAATACAAATTAAAAGAATATTTTTTCTTCATTACTAAGTTTTAAATTTTAAAAATGTAACCTATTTATAGAATACAGTTAATTATTTACGTGGAATCAATATTGATTAAAGTTTTAATTTAGTTCATACCTATATGAATTTTAATTGATTTTAACATAACATAACCTATGCAAACTATTAAAATTAAGAAATCGGTAAAACATAATTTTTATCTTTTTATACTAAACCTCATTGATTAATCCATTATTTTTTCTAGGCAAAAAAACAGAAATTAGCAGTAAAAGAAAAACATGACAATGAATTAAAAGAAAGACTATCATTAAGTATTCCATTGGTGGATGAAAATGATGAAGATGCAAAAATTGCTAAGCTATTAAGCTATCAAACCTCTGATAGTAAGCATTTATATTGTTTTTATTCAATTAAAATCAATAATATATAATATTTCTGTTATATAATTTCTGTTTTTTGAAGATCAAATGAAATGTATGAAATTCTTTTTTTTCAGGTACAAAAACTAGACAAAAAAAATTTATACACGGACTACGGAAAATTCCAAAGCTAGACCCAAATAAACCAAAAAAATGCCTTAATTTGGGTATTATTCAATCCACCACCACAACTAAAACCCAAGCAGTACCAATTAGTACTTCTAACCCTAGTAATTCAATATCTTCACTTGTTTCTGCTGATTATGAATCATCATCAGATTAAATTTACATAAAAACTAAAAACAAAATATTACAATTCAAAAGTTAAGTTTTATATAATTTTGATTACTAAAATAGTTATTGGTAACAATGAAATAAATATAAAATATTATTGTACAGAATAATACATAATAAATATACTTTAAGTCATAAGGCAATCACAAAATAAATTATTTACTATTGAAAATATTCAAGTTACAAATGTTTGCTTCTCTTCGATTATTCTACATGTTTTTTCGTAAGCACCAAAAAATAAGGCTCCACCCAGCATTATAAATACAACTCTTGGAAGAAAACCAGCAAACAATCTGAAATTTTCCAAATTAAAACATAAGTGTAAAATAACTAACAGAACTCTGTAATATTACTGTTTTTACAATAATTATTATAAATCCTACAATTTCAGAATATGTGCAAATTAAAGAATGTATACATTACTCATAATAGGTTATTGAAAGAATAAAAAGGAAATTTGAGATGTAGATTCAGAATATGATTTCTTTTTTACAAAAATTTGGTGTCAACAATATGAGTTACAGAATTTCAGATAAACTATTAATACAATTAACTGTTAAATTTTTTCTGTTTAAAACAAAGTATAATCCATTATAATAACCAAATTTAAATTTGGTTTAAATTTAACTTAGTAATATATTTAATAAAAATACTATCCTGAACAAAAGTACCAAATTAGGACCTATATTTACAGAGAAGGAAGAAAAAAAATTATTATTTGTAGATACACATTCCTGACTACTCATGTTTTAAAATCACAAAAGCTCTAATTACAACTAGATTTTATGCATAAATGTAATAAATACATTTTATTCTTTACCCACTAATTCCTTTTTTTTTATATATTTTTATAAAAACTGTTGACAAATTTTGATCCACAGCACTATTGGCTAACATAATTTGAGTTTTTGTTACATCTATGGGTGTAGTAATTACAGCAGCTATGCCTCCTAAAAAATGTGTTTACATTAGTTTTAAATTTTATTAGTCTATTCATTAAAAAATTTGTATAGTATATAACTGTTAAATATTAACTACCAGATACAGAACCACATAAAGCAACTTCTAATGTAGTAAGAGGTCTTCCAGTGAAGATCTTATACTCTTTCTTTAAATATTCCCATATTGGAAGTTGCAACATAGAAAATGGAATATCACGCATGACTGTTGTCCAAAATCCACGATAAAATCCAAAAAAGCCTTCATTCGCATATGCATTTTTCATGATTCTTACAATTGACTCTTGATTTGGTGAAGCTTGACGTCTTTGCTTTACAATCTCAACAGGGACTTTTGTAGTACAACAGACCTTTATAATAAATAATATATGTACAAACTAATATTTAATATTTGTATAAATTATAAAATAATCAAGATAATAATATACCACTTCACCCATGATTCCAGCACATATGTGTACTACTGGAGCAGTATTGCTTGATACATTAGGGAACAAATTTTTAAAACCATCATAAGTGCCAAAAAATAATCCGGCTAAAATATATCAGTTTTGATTTTAAATTATAACAATAACAAGGTAATAACATAGTATATACCTGTAAAAGGAGCCCCAATAATGGTCGGAGTCAGTCCTTTATAAATACCTCTAAAACCACCAGACTCAAGAAATCCAAACTGACTTTGTAATCTAGTTTTTAATGTATCTAATGGAAACAATGCAACATCAACAACAGTTCCAGCTACAGCCCCAGCCTATAATACATAAACATTATCTATCAATTATTTATTAAAGTAGAAAAAAATTTCAAACTTTTAAATAAATTATAAACGATAATATTAATATAATTTAGTAATAAATATATTACATTTTCTTATTATAATGCTTGGATAGTATAGGATAATTTTATTAAAAAACGTTTTCAACATTTTCTGCTACCTTAGGATAAATGTTAAATTTACTATACCTGATAAGGATAAAATGTCTAACTTATATTTTAATTATACACTTAAACTTGTTTTTTTATGGATTAAAAATCCAAAATAGCAATATCAGCAAAAACCAAAAACCTAAAATTAAATTTTTAAATCAACAAAAATATATCATGTACTTTTAGTAATAAAAAGTACAATAATTAATTAAGTTGAATACAGTTAAAACTTATTAATTACAATACAATTCTATACTTATTAAAAGTAATACAGTCGTACAGTTTGAGTCATAAATGATTAAATTTTAACACATTTTTGACAAATTCTAATTTATTAAATATTTATAATTTTATTACATCAATTCATTATTTTCAACATATAATTTGTATGACTTTACCTACATTATTGATTGTATTAATACTATACTTTATTAGATTTAAGAGTACACCAGATGGCGAACGTAACTCGTTGGAACCACGCATACTAATGATAACAGAGCTGATAGTATATAAATTGAGGATTTATAACTGCAATAAGAATCGACCTGAATTTATTACTGTTGATCAATAATTAATTATGCACTTGGGCAACAGACAATGATTAGTCATTCATGCACAAACTAATGTACTCTTAAGTTGAATGAAGTATAGAGGTGTGTTAATTCTAAGTTATCTGGGCAATCTAAATTAAATTTTAAATTATTAAGTCTTTATTTTAAACAGATACTAAAAATTATATGAAATTAAGTTGACAATTAATGTTTTAAATAATATGCATTTTATGTCTATAAATCTCCACATTTTTTATTAAATATAAAAAATTCCTGAAAGTTGAAGTTGAAAATCCTAGTACTAAATTTATACATATAAATTGGACTAATGCATATTTTTAGTTATAGAGTTTTGAATTGACAAAACTTAACTTAATTTATCTTACCAATAAATATGTTATTCAGTATCTGTCAATAGTATTATAATGAATAATGAATAAACAATAAAATAATATTAATTTGTTATTGTAGTCATTTTACCAACTAGAACCATAGCTTACCAAGCAATTAAACAGTATTCTAGAATTCCAATCAACAATCAGAACCAATGAAGGTACTACATACAATTAATACAATATGTGTAAGCTAATAAATTAAGATTAACACAACTATTGTAATAAAAAAAAAAACTTAAAAATCTAAAGTTTATAATTATCAAAATGACCTATCAATTATTAAGATCATCTGAACTATAATGTGATCACTATGAAATAATCAAAACATCAATAATAAGTTTTTATAGGATATAGTAAATGCAAGCTTACAATCAATGAAGTTGAATAATGTCTAGATCCATTAATTGGAATAGAATTGAATGCGTTAATTTTATCCAATTCACTTCCGTCCATTGTAAATATATAGATGAATAAGGAATATTATTATATGGATATTTGTAAGCTGTTGACCAACTCCATATAATAAATATCTAAATATAAAATAAATAAAAATGGAATAATTTTTATGTTTTTTTAAATTTATTGGATGTTTAACAATATCAGTACTTTTAAGTAAAAAAAATAATAGTGATTTTATAATTAAAACTATTGTTACATAATCAAAATGGTGAACTTATATTTGATTTTAACTGATAGACATAACTATCAAAAACACACAGTATCTATTTATTTTATTAAAATAGTATTGGGACATTTTGTAGTTACAATATTAAGTACCACTAAAACAAAATCAGGTTAATACATTTTGATATTTATTATATTTCCATGACAACAATCTAAGTATATAATAATAGTAAATTAAAACAAATAAGAAATGAGCAATAAAATGAAATATATCAGACCGAGGGAGTAAAGTGGAAAAAGGTCAAACACATTAACGATATCATAAAATTTATACTTATAAAAAAAAAGTCAATAGAAAACGCTCACTCACTAGTAAGTCTGTTGGACGTCTTATCGAATAGGCATACTTAATTTCGGAAGCATCAAATATTTATTAATGAAGGTCCAATAATTATTGCTTAAATAATTACGACAATTATTTTTGAATTTTATTCCAAATCGACAAACTATGTAGGACGGGTGGGAACCCTTAATGATTTAGCCGGCGTTTTCATTCCGTTTATCAATGTTCAGACTATGGACTCGTTACTGATAATATTTAATGAACTGATAGCACGGTCTTACCACATAATAGATGAAATATATAATTATTCATCTATTCTGTGGTCTTACACCGTTTTATAATCAACAGTGGTTGTTTTTTTAATTTTTTCTGGGGTGATTCTTTTTACATTAATACTGTTATTAATTACTGAAATATTAATACTGTAAACAAAATCTTCAATACATTTTTGTTATACTTATATATGTATATTGTATATACATTATCAGGGCCGTTCAGAAGGGGGAGCAACGGGTACATTGTGCCCCAGGCCCCCGGAATATTTTTTTTATGGGGCCCCCTTAAAGTTTTGATGTATAATAATTAATAATGACGAGCTGTCATCGACCGGCTACCACTGTTGAAACGAAAATTATTTTCTTTGTGTCATCCACATAATAATATACAATTCTATTATTGATATTACATTATATTGTAATACAATTACAAAATAATTGACACATTTTGTCATGTGTGTACTATACAGTATACATTGCCCAGCCAAGACAATTTAAAGTTGAAGTGTTTATAACAGCATTAGATAGGCATTTATCTGATATTTATGGTATTCAAGCAAGTATGAAGAAAATATCAAACACATTTTCTTCAATTATCAGCCCACCAGAAGAACCATGTGATGAATTTTTGAAAGCTCAAGCTGAAATAATTTCAAGTTTATAATCTAATAACGTGTGTGCTAGTGTGTTAACAGAGGAACTACGCATTTATTGCAAAATACACAAAGTATCAACAATTATTTTTAATGATAGCGAAATTGCATCAATTTCTATTAATCAAATATATAAGAAAGGACTTCAAAATATACTACCTCAAATATGTATTTGTCTTCGAATACTTTCTATCATTCCCACGTTTGTGTCAACGGGAGAAACATTTTTCAGTAAACTGAAATTAATAAAAAGTTATTTACATTCAATTACAGAAGAGAACCACCTAAATCATTTAATTCTTCTCTCCATTGAACACAAGTTAGCAAAGACTTTAGATTACGATGATGTTATAGATAGCTTTGCTGAAAAAAAAGCAAAAAAATAAGTTTTCTGCTATACATTTTAATATTTTATATACAATAATAAACTAATAAAATATTTTTTTTTAATTTTCTTAATTTACCTTATCTATTTATTTAATCCAAAACATTCAAGTTCATATTTTCCTTGAATAAACATAACTATTTAGGAATAAATTGTACTTTTTAGTATACGGTGATGCGTTGTTTAGAATTTATTGAAAATTAAGTGTGTAATGCAGCACATGTATTTAAATAAGCTTGATTGGTTAAGGTTTGGAAAAATACGTTTGCAAGAATTTTTTTATTCTCATTGAGTATTTTGTTAATCATATCTTATTATTAAGGTCGCTGAAGGGCTCCCAAATTAATTTGTCCCAGGCCCCGAAAAACCTTTGGATGGCCCTGTACATTATTATATATTATATATATATTTATGCAGTACTTGACTTGGAAAAATTAAAGAAGGGGGATTCTATTTACTTTAAAAAAAGAACGTCCCCAAAACTGGCTGAGCGTTTTTATTATAGCGTAATAATAGTAGGAGGACGCTAAAATTTCTGAAAATTAGTTGGGGTACTCCGTACCCCTGCGTCCCCCCTCAAGTCGAGCACTGTATTTATGTACTTCATGGCCAAAATTTCCTAAAATAAATAATTTTTTAAAGATTCTATGAGACATTGCAGATACTCTAACTATATTCATAACCTTGGAGTTATATGATCTGTTATTATATATTACGGAATATAAAAATTAAAAAACATCAAAAATTTATTTTTTTTAATAATTTATTAAAATTGATCCTTTAAAATTATATATATATCACTAATTATAACAATATTAGTAAAAAACAATATCAATCCCTTAGTGCAACAGAGTGTACAATATTTTTTGTTATTCCATTTTTCGCCAACACAAACAAACTGGATGGTTCGAGAGCACACCACGTATAATTGTCCGTGTGAAAAACATGATGTGCTCAAATCTAAGCCACAGACATCGTTTGGTCTTGAGACTTATTGATAGTCATTGCAAATGCCAATCTAATTGGAAATTGAAGGCGCTTAAATTGTATTGGCACATCTGTGGGTAAATAGGGATTCGTAGTAATAATATATTTTCACCTCGGAATTTTCAATTTAAAATGATGGCTTCGATAACATTTTTCATTAATTTTTTAATGACTAATCGCGTGCCGTTGCATAACTGTGGTGGGTTCAAATTACGAAGCAAAATAACCGGAGATCCAACCTTCAGTTGTAAATTGTGTGGTAGCTTGCCTGGTAAATCCAATGAGTTTAAAAACTCTGTTGGATAATTTACAGCTTCAATAACATTGCAAACTGTATCAGCAGATTTGTATTACACCAAGTCTCCTGGTAACAAATATTGTACCTTGAGATTCAATTCATAGACGTCCACATTTTTTGCTGCTAAAATTGTTCTTTCTGCAAGCCACTCATGATACCTATGTGTATTGTTTGTGTACATTGGGAAATATTTGGTCAATGAGAGCATCATGTGAATCAATAATTGTGCAGAAATCGGTCAATAATAGTATGTATCCTGTTTCATCTGTAGTAACTTTTCTATCAACGATATCCAATAATTGTTTTGAAAATCTTCCGCACGCAGCTTTTTTTGATTGAATCGCAAGTATTGAAATCGTTCGCTCTCTACCTTCATACATGTCGATCATGAATTGTTGACAAAGCTCACGATATCGTAGAATGTCTTAACCTATCATCAATCGATATGCATAATAATCCTTCGAATTAACATTCTTGTTTGTTTTGGCACTTGTTGCGGGATCTTGTTTAATATTTATGCAACACCCGTCATTTAATATCAAAAATAAAATTAATAGTTTTTAAATAGTTTTTAATAGTTTTTTAATAATTTGATTTAATAATTCATTTTCAATTGCGCAGTTATCGACCTGGTCAAAAATTATTAAATTAAACTACGATGTATTAAACAATAGCACTTTTCCAAAAATTTTTTTCGTAAAAACCTTCTCCTGGCAATTACGAACAATTAAAAAAATTTTGAGCCAAATTAGCCCAGCCAGGGGGCTGTGGTCCACTAGCTCCCCCTATATGCGACACTGGTCTCTATTAACCGGAAGCGACAGCGGCCATTTGCTTTAAAAACGTCCATAAAGGCTACATGTTCACAATAACAAAATAACGGTTGAATGATCATTGTCCATTATTTCCAGGCCATGAGTGAAAAGAGAAACACGTGATGGAGGTATTATTTTTTCCCGTCAATAAATCTTTTTGACCAAGGCGACGTAGTTATATATGTTACTTACATTATTAGCTATTCGTGTATCCATCATTACTATTTATATATTTTATATTTGTATATGTAGGTAAATCATTATTACATGTATTCAGTGACGCTTACAAGTTTTCCATGAACCAGTGCAATTCTAATTATAGGGTCTCCAAATTTATTATGGTTTAGATCCATACGACTATATTCATTTGATTGAAATAATTTTTTTTCCAAATGCATGTTTACCTTAAATAAATGAATTCAAAGCCTATGTACCTTTTTTTTTCTTAAATGTGATTTAACAAAAAAATATTAATAAATTAGTATATATTTATAAACCTAAGTCATGATTTTAACATAAATTAACATATTCTTTCCTAATTGACTGAAAAGCAAGGTTTTTAAATAGGTAGTTCAATTCTAAAATACTGAGTAAGTAATTAATTCAAATAGAAAAAATTAACTTTTGAACTTTTTTATGATTTCCTTTATAAGTTCAATAAAATTGGACTACTGTACTTCAAGACTTAGGTAACATTTGATTTATATATAATAAACTAGTTATATCAATATTAATATTTTATGTTTACAGGGCCGGCTCAAGGTATAAGCGAGCTAGGTACCTAATTAAAGCGGCACTTTAGTAGGGGCGGAATTTTCAAAATTGACTCGTAAATTTTTTTTAGTTCTATCGGTGTTATATAAGAAAAATATTTAAATTGATTCATTAGTGAAAACCACTTACCTATGTATATAATAAAATAATATTGTCTAAAGTAATTATATTACTTTATACAGGGACGTAGTAAAGGGGTGGCGAGAGGTGCCTACGATTCGGGCGCAATTCTTGGGAGAGCGCGAAAATGAAAATCTGGCATTTAATGTTAAAAATTACAACGGTCAATATCGTATATTTTGTTTACAAAATCTTTAACATCCTTTATATTAATTATAGCAATCATTGAAAATAATATCTAACAAGTACAATATTTTTAAATAAAAAATACATGAGGGCGCATTTTGAAGTTTCACACCGGGTATAATGTTTGGTTGCTACGTCACTTATTTTATATTACGGTCTACGCTGGGCGTTTTCAATTATTCCAAAAATATAAATAACCACATAATCACTTCCGCGATTTCTGATATCCGCGATGGTGATGGGTTTTGAATAATAGTTGTAGAAATCATTTTTAAGACTTTTTACATATAATTTTATACATAAAATAAAAAAATTAAACTTTTTTTATGTAGATACGTCACATAAAAAATAGGAGGAGGGGCTAAGTTAAAATAAGAGCTCAATTTTTTTTTAGAGGCGGCAAAATCTGATTTTGCCTAATGCACTAATTTTATTTGGGCCGGCTCTGTCGCTGACGATGACACTGAATATGTATTATGTATTACTCCTATGATTTTATTCTTGACGTTTTTAAAAAATGGGCGCCGCAAAAGTTCCTTATCTTTATTCTTTGCGATCTTACATTATCAACAACAACAAAACCCGACTCGAAGTTAAAATAGATAATGAAAAATTGTTATCTATGCTCTGACAATATAGTTTGTGTACAAGTGGTATAATAGCCAACAGTAAATACTCAATAGTGTTTTAGCAAAATTCGTAAACAAAACTAAAAATATTGAATCGCTGCGAATTACACATTGTTACCAATTGTTTTAAATTCCATTGGATTCACGCCATCATTCATAATGCCGTAACAACACGATTAGCTTTCTTTGACCGAAAAACCGGCTAAAACCAACAGTATGTCTGCTAACAACGCTACGGCCGAAAACGGCCTTAATCAAATACTCAACGAAATAGCGGTAAACAATTTATCTGGTTCTTGTAATATTAAATAACTGTTAAAATAATACAACGTTGAATTGTCTGTAGGTATGAAAAAAAAATTGTGTGTTAAATATTTAAAATGACACACACACAATTTATATTGATTTGTGTTGATTGTAGTTTAGTTATGATCACAAAAACGAAGAACTTAAATAATTTATTAGTTGTGGACTCAACAGTATTATGCCACCGTTCATTAAATATTATTATTTCTTTTTATATAACTGATATTTTACTCTGACTCAGATTTGTTACCGATCATTTGTAAAGCTATAATTTACACTTAAATGTGCATAAAAAAATGTTGATTGTATTTGATTGATTAAAATAATTGTATAAATAAATTACAATTAAGAATTATCACAGTTGAGTACTCATGCTTACTCATACTATGTTCACATACTATATAGTAACTAACGTTGTTGTTAAAACAGTGAAATTTAATTATATTTTGGAATACTAAAAAATAGGTGTTAAATGCATTATAATGATAACAGCTCTACTTCCAGAGTTGTCTATTTATTGTAACTTATAGGTGCACAAATTATTGTTTATTTTATTTGAAATATTTGAAATATCTGATAGTTTTGAAAAGTACACCGAGTTGAAAATATATTTTTTCTAAAAACTAAATTTTTTTAAATATATTTAAAATATTACGTTTATCATTTTAGAAAGTTGATGAATTAGTTGAAGCATTTAATGGCTATATTGAAAAAGAATCTTTAAAGAACTGTGAACAGATCGAAAAATTATTTGTAATGCTTACCAATATAGTAACTGGATTAAATGATGAACAATTAAGTGCCAGTATAAAAATTATATTAAAAGTTGCTTCAACTCAAACAGTATGTGTTCGTCAAAAAGTTTTTCTCAAAATGCTTGAAAAGTTGGTTCAAAAACATGGTGTATCTTCAAGGTAAATAAAATTAAAATTATTTAAATTATATGTTAAATATTAAACTAAAGTAACTATAGTCAATGTTGTGTATAAAAATATTTTTAAAATCAAGCTCCTGTAGTAGTGTTTACTGAAATGTATGTAAAATCAACTATAACACAAATGTGTTTTGGTTTTATTAAAACTATATTTTTGATTCATTCATATTCTATTTTTGTTAACTTTTAAATACATAATTTATTAAAAAAAGTAGTACAATATTTAAAATCACCGATATGTATTTTTCTTATTTATAGACTGATGTGTGAATGTATAATTAATTCTGAATATCTTGTACATACAAATTCCGAATTTTGGATTGAGTGTTTTCATATAATTAAAAGCATATTATCAACAGTTGACTATAAAGGAGTTAGAGAAATAATGAAGGTAAAAATAAAACAATAAATGTAAAACATAATATTGAAAACTATCATGAACTCTATTATTTATTACATATTATTTATACATTTCAGGGATGTTTGGAGAAAGTGGTAGCAATGCCAAAAGCATTACCTGCTTCTATATTACCTCAGTTTCTTGCACTCGAAGAAGTCATTCGCTACATATTTGATAGAGAATCTTGTCTTCTTCCTGGTTATTTTGTAATTAATGAAATTCTCAGAGTATATACTGAAAACAGAGGATGGCCACATTGGGTAAATATAAATTATAATCTCATTTTTGGCATATTTCGCGTGTATGTAACACTTCATTTTTATTTGTAGAAACTTGGTTGTTTGGTGTCAAATTTTGTAGAGAGTTTTCGAGGGGCTGCACAAATGACATCAATGATTGGCCATTCTTCAATGCTACCTGTTGTAGAACATTCTGGTTATGGCGATCACTTAATCACTCCATGGAAATTGGATCCATGTACATTAAAATTTACATTAAAAGGGAACATACCATACCCTAAACAAATATTGCAACCTCAGACTAAATTATTAAGATATGTCTTAGAACAACCTTATTCTAGGGATATGGTGTGCTCAATGCTTGGCCTACAAAAAATGGTGAGAAATTTTAAAATGTATTTGTTATTTTCTAGTTTTATTTTTAGAAGATTATACTATACAAATGAACAAGATCATTTTATTGTGCATTATAGTAATTAGTATATATTTAATCACAATATTCAAATGAGATTCTTTTAAATAACTATTTTAAATTATAGCATATTACTTGCTATTTACAATTTTTTAATTAAAATTATTTGGTATCCTATTAAGACATTCAAAAACTATTTTCAATTTAAACTTTTTATATTTTCTTATGAACATTTTATATTTGAAATAATTGAATTATTTTTCAGAATAAACAAAGATGTATTGTATTAGAAGAACAATTAGTGGAGTTAATTATTAGATCAATGGAAAAATGTGATAAAGAAATGGCAGAAGGTGCAGACCCAGAAGAAAATCATTGGCTTTGGTTACATATTTCAAGTCAATTAATTTATTTTATTCTATTTCAATTTGCTGTTTTCCCAAATATTGTTAATGCTCTTCATGAAAAAGTATATCTATGTTATTTTACCATTTGTCTTAAAAATTTATTTTTAACTTGTATTTTAAATAATTTTTTTAGTTATTGAAAAAAGATTTACACAGATCAAGAGATCGCTTAATGTGGGTACTTTTGCAATATATTTCTGGCAGTATTCAACGTAATTCAGTGAGTTTTAAATATTTTATTTTAAAAATATACCCAATATTTTTAATAAAATATACTTTAGTAAATTATTTCATGTATTTTAGTTAGAAAATATTTTACCAGTTTTGAAACTGTATGACTTATTGTATCCTGAAAAGGAACCTTTACCCGTGCCTGATACCAGTGTTGCACTTTGCACTCATCAAATGGCTGTTACTTGCATTTGGATTCATTTATTACGTAAAGCTCTTATGGACAACATTAAATTTCATAGACCTATACCATTAGCTTTAAAAGCCCACCATGAGTAAGATATGCTAATAAATTGTTTTATTAAATTTTTATTATATTATCAAAAAAAATTTCAGTTATTTGCAGATGTTGGTGCAGCCATCAAATGGTGCTTTATGCATGGGCACAGATTACCGTGTACCATTATTGTGTAATGCATTCTCCACAAATAATGAGTGTTTATCTCGTCCAATGGCCGCTCTTGTAGAAGCTGTGTTAGGCAGTAGTAGTAATCGAGGTATATCAGGGGTAACATCTAATCCACAGCAATCCACTCAGTCCCCTGTAATAACACCTGCAGTTGGAGGAACTTCTCCAGTAGCCTCAGTGCCAGGTTCTGGTGGCACTACAAGTCCAATAAGTGGAAATGCTTCCTCCTCTAATGCCATGGGTCCTACTACACCACTGAGTATGGCTGTTTTAGATTCATTGACAATTCATGCAAAAATGAGCTTGATTCATAGCATAGTGACACATGTACTCAAGTTGGCTCAATCTAAATCAAATTTAGCACTTGCACCTGCTCTTGCAGAAACATACAGTAGACTTTTAGTTTACACAGAAATTGAATCATTGGGGATAAAAGGATTTATAAGTTAGTAAATTATTAGCATTCATAATATATATTACAATAATGAATAACAAATATTCATGTATATATATTTAAAAGTCCCAAAATAAGTTTATGTGTATTTTAAATAATATATTATTAAATTATTTTTGCAGGTCAAGTATTACCAACTGTTTTTAAATTTCATGCTTGGGGAATTCTTTATACTCTGTTAGAAATGTTCAGTTATAGAATGCATCATATTCAGCCACATTACAGAGTTCAGCTTCTTTCTCATTTACACAGTTTAGCTGCAGTACCGCAAACAAATCAAACTCAACTTCACTTATGGTACTAAATACTTTGATTATTAAATAAATATTCTAATACAATAAAACATTTAGTGTGGAAAGTACTGCATTAAGATTGATTACTGGCCTTGGAAGCAATGAAGTGCAGCCACAATTATCTCGATTTCTGAGTGAACCCAAAACTTTGGTATCAGCAGAGTGCGAAGAACTCAATCGTGCTCTTGTTTTAACATTAGCTCGATCCATGCATATTACAGGGACATCAGCTACACAAGAGGGATCTTGGTGCAAAGAACTATTAAGTACCATTATGGCTAATACACCACATACTTGGGCTTTACACACATTGCAATGTTTTCCTCCTGCTCTTGCAGATTTTTTTGTTCATAATCCCATAACCAAAGAAAATAAACAACAATTAAAAGTATGTAAATTATTACCTAATTTGTATTATTTTTGTTTTAAATTTTTTAAATTCATTTTTAGAAAGCAGTAGAAGAAGAGTACCGAAATTGGGCATCAATGACTAATGAAAATGACATCATCGCTCATTTTTCTGTACCTACAGCTCATCCGTTATTCTTGTGTCTTTTATGGAAAATGATAATAGAGACTGATAGAATCAATCCAATTGCTTACAAGTTAGTAAAATCATAGTTCTCATACATTTTAAGTATGACATGTTTCATAATTATTTAAAAATTACATTGTGTTCTAAGCATATGAAAACAAAACCATTCTCAGTAGATTGTATTGTAACATCTGATCTTCAGATGTAGTTGTGAAATATCTCTTAGATATTGCTATTATCATTCACAAGTGCAAATATATTGTCTTTGATTTCCAATAAATTATCTTCCCATATTGTTTTATGTTAATCATACAAGCTTTATAAGATCCCTATAATCTCAGTTACTTTTTCCATAAAGAAATTTAGTTTTATTTATCCTAAACATTTTCTATTGTTTTGCCTACTGTTATAATTTCAAGGGGTAGTATGGTGCAATGGTCACATAGTTGGCTACGACACACATAGTTATCAGTTTAAATCCAACTTAGTGCAAAAATCATTCTGGAGAATTAATTCTATGATCTCTCTCCTTTTCAACCTTTCTGGTTGTTCTACACTGCTCCTCACAGGACCAATTCCAATGGGAGTGAAATCTACACACCTGATAATTATCTACTTGGAGAAGGGGTACAAGTGCTACACAGTACTTTACCTTTCCCAAGTGAAAAAATATATTCAACAAAGACATCTGACGGTCGTTTCGATAAATAAAAAAAAAATATAGTTATTTAGATATTTAATTGTACATAAATAATCTTATAGACATAAAGTTGTTATTATTCTTTGTGGTAAAATAAAAAATATTTAAATCCCACAGAAACAAAAGATTGCTTACATTTTTATTTTATTTTAAATCTGAATAAATTGTAATAAAATAAAATTTATAACTTTAATTATTATTCAATAATTATTTTATATTATCTATTATCAATTCTTGTTATTCTAACATGCTTGGTAAAGTTTTAAAAAAGTGTTTGGTTTATAACTTTTTACAAACTCAATTTATTACAAAAAAAATAACAATGTCACTCACTGTATGTATTTATAATATGATGTAAATTATTTTTTAGAATATTAGAACGAATTGGTGCTCGAGCTTTATCAGCACATCTTCGAAAGTTTTGCGATTATTTGGTGTTCAAATTTGCTGTTTCAGAAGAAGGCCAACATGTTAACAAATGTGTCGATGCTATCAATAGTATGATTTGGAAGTACAATATTGTTACAATTGATCGACTTGTACTATGTTTAGTATGTTTTATAAATACTACTTTAAAATAATTACAAATAATTTATTTACAACAATATTTAAAAATATATATATATATATATATATCAATTATAGGCACTTCGTACTCAAGAAGGCAGTGAAGCTCAAGTGTGTTTTTTTATAATTCAACTACTTTTATTCAAAGGTGCTGAATTCAGAGCTCGAGTGTGTGAGTTTGTTAAAGAAAACTCTCCTGAACATTGGAAACAATCTAATTGGTATTATTTATTTATTTTTATCTAAAATACTTATAACTTCTGTGACTATCTTTTAATTACAAAGAAAAAAAAAACAATTTTTTTTGTCGGTTTTTGTATTGATAATTTTATAATATAATTAAATATTTTTCTTAAATAGAAGCTCATATATATTTTTACATAAAAAAAAAATGAACTATGTGCAATTTAAAACAACTATAAAAATCATGTAACATGTTGAAATTTTATTTTTATTTTTAAATTTTATCTCAAATTTAAAAAAAAAAAATTGACAGAAATTATGTACAGCTCTTTAAATGGATTACTTTGTACTATGTATTCTTGTCTCGTCTCATAATACTTAATTCTTATAAATATTGAATAGGCATGAAAAACATTTAGCATTTCATAGAAAATATCCTGAAAAATTTGCTCCTGAAGGAATTTTAGATCCTGCTTCTTATCAACCTTTGCCTGTGTATTTTGGAAATGTGTGCCTTAGATTTTTACCGGTAATTTAAAAAATGTCTTAACATAAAATTTTACTTAATATTAAACAAATAGTCTATAATTTTGTTAATATTTTATTTTTAAACAGGTTTTTGATATAGTAATTCATAGATATCTTGAATTACCACCAGTAACTAAATCATTAGAAACTCTTTTGGATCATTTAGGATGCTTGTATAAGTTCCATGGTATGTTGTAGATTTACAAAATTATTTTTTAACTATATAATATCTATAACTATTTTTACAGTTATGTATATATGTTTCTACATGAATTTAATTTACTAATTACTTTATAGATCGTCCAGTTACATATTTATACAATACATTACATTACTATGAATCGAAATTACGTGAACGACCATCATTAAAACGGAAATTAGTATACGCAGTCCTTGGATCATTATGTGAAACTCGTGGCTATTGGACATTATCTGAGCCTTATCAAAAGTACAACATGCAGACTCCATCTTCTACAAATAACACCACTATGGGTACCAGCACAGATGTGTCAGTTATTCCTGCAGCTCCCATATGGGTACCTGATCTTGAATACTATGTAATGCTGGTTAAAAGAATTACTGACAGTATCCTTTTATTTATAACTTGCATACATTATTTCCATATGGTAAAAAAAACGTTTTCTTAATCATTGTGCATAATTCACAATAAAGTGTGAAATAAATAATGGTAGTTTTAATCTAAATTTTTATTTATTTAATAATAATGTCATAAAAATTAAAATTTTCCTTTACCATTTTCTTAAAGCCATGAATGGAAATGTTAAATTTCCAAATATAGATTGGAGATTTAATGAATTTCCTAATCCTGCCGTTTATGCTCTTTATATGACTTGTGCAGAACTTATGGCCTTACCACTATCTCCAGCTTCAGTGGCCAATTCTATACTTGACGTTGTGATGCAAAGGTATTTTTTGCAATAAAATCTTTAATTAGGAAACCCATGTGGAACTTTATAGTGTCCACTATTCTTGAAGGGTTCATAATAGAGGTTTCATTGTACTTTTAGTATATGATAAAATTAAAATTGTGAATTAACTTATAATTGTATAATAGATATACAGAGATTCCATCTCATGAAATACATGGTTGGATAAATAGTATTGGTCTTATAATGTCTGCATTACCAGAACCATTTTGGGTGACTTTACAAGACCGAATCATGCAAATGATGCAAAGCCCTGGTTTGACTAATTGGCAGTATGCTCACACTCCTTTTCAGCTATTTAATTTTGATCTTGCTCATGGATGTATGCTGGATAACCGATTTATATATATGTTAGCCTTAGCTCATGCTACTTGGCATCATGCTGGGGTGGGACACATTGCTTCTATACCTTTGTAAGTTATCTAATAATTTTTTAATTATTGTTAAAATTCTTTCAAAGTTAACTTTTAATGTTTTTACAGGTTTGCAAAAGAAAAACTTGGGCCATCTGTATACAGTGAAGAACAATTTATATTTTTATGTCATCTGGTTGCACCATTTTTATCACGATATAATCTTGACAAACCATCACCATCTATATTGGATATTACTGTCGAATTATTTAATGCATTAGAAAGAATGGACAAGCATGTTCAGACTCTTCGTTACATGGACCCTATCTGTGATCTATTGTATCCTTTTTTACATTTTTAGCATGGAGAAAAAATATTTAAATATTTAAAATGTATGTTTCCTTAATAAACTTAATTTAGGTATCATATAAAATACATGTATGTAGGAAATTTAATGAAGTCTGAAGTGGAAGGAATTGTCTTTCGTCTTAGATTACCTTTACAAAAAAAACTAAGGTTTATCACACAACTAAGTTTAGCTGAAGTTGAAGCTATGAATCAACCAAGTGCTGATCCTGTAGTTCCGATCTCAAATGGCACTAATGATAGTGCAACACCTCAAAATATTAATACGGCAACTATACCTCAATAATTGGTTAAAATTAAATAAAATCAAAACTTTATTGAATTAATTTTACATACATTTTAATGATTTACTCTAAAAATGTTATTTTATTTCAACAATAAAAATAGACCAATTTTTCTATTACATCATGGATAGATAAAAGTTTAAAAATAGTTTTTTTATACTTTGTTTAATTTGTATATTTTTCTAAAAAAAAAAATAAAAAAAAAAATAAAAATGTGAATTTAGTGTTGTTTTTTACTTTAAGATGATAATTCAAACCTAACCATTTTAAGTATTATTTATTTAATTTTTTTTTTGTAATTTATTTTAAATTTTAATTATGAAGACTATTAATTCATTTATTTTAGTAAAAATTTTAAATTAACTGACATTTGTGTATATATTTTTACCAGCATTTTGAACACTTAAAATAACATTTAATGAGAGAAGAGCAGTAATATCCTTTTGTAATACCCTAAAAATAAGGTCTGTGCACGCCTATGATTGGTTATATTGGAAAACCATTACTAAGCGTGGACTGGATAGGATGATATAAAAATAATTTTATTTTATTGTTTCAATAATTTATGAAAATTGTTCAATTATTAAAAAAAAATAATACTTTATTTTTATTCTTAAACAAATTTTTTTTGTTCTAATATACTTTAATTATTGGTATTTGGTACTACTTGTCATTGTATTATTTATATAATATAATGCTTTTTATGATATTTTATCAAAAAATGTAGTATTAATTTATCAAACAATCAGTATTTTACCTACCTAGTGGCATATCAAACTTACTTAATTTGTAAAATACCTTCATATTAACATTGAAAAAAGTTATGGGCCAGTAAAATGTTTGGTAGTTTATAACAGTGGTTCCCAAACTGTGTTCCGCAGAGCATTTAATTGTATCTCAAGAGCTCCGTTTGTTTTACCATAGCAAATTTAACAATTATTGATCGTTATTTAAAGCAACAAAAATATATATTTTTACAAGATTCCGTTAACTCAAATATAATTTATTGGTACATATACAAACAATATTAAAATTCCGATAAGAAAATATTATTTTTTAATTTTTAGATAAAAAGCATTCCCATTATAGTTATAACCCGGACATGTATATTGTATTTGAATATAAAATTAAATATGCTTTAACACGTTTTGATATTCCTTCTCTATGGGTATGAGTACATACTATATGTAATATACTTCAAAGATCACAAGCTAATAAAACTTAATAATAAATATTTCTTGGGTGATAATTGAGATGAAATATTATAGTTATAGGTGAAGAAAGTCTAGATGATGAAGTGTGTGATACAACAGTTAGTGTGATAGCTGGTTCATCAGTTATGTGTTAAAATCTACCCAACATGGGTGATGTCAACGGTGTAGGGACATCACCATTGCACCTTGGGTTAAATCGGCATCTAGGTATGAGAAATAGGTAGGTAGAAAGTGAGAATAGACACGAGGAATTTTGAAAAGTTAATAATCAGAAGTAGAAAATTAGCGGTAGTATTGAAGAAAGGAAAGTTAATTGTTAAATTCAAAAAAATAAGTGGAAAGAAGTAATAGTAAAAGATATGGGAGAGTATAAACGAGGAGTATCCAAAATAAGTTTTAGAGAGTATTCATCATGGAAATGAATCCTTCATGGAATAAAGGATTCATTGGTTTAGTTAGTGAGGAGGAAGTGAAGATGATGAAAATGAAAAAAGCGGTTGGACCAGATGAAGTGCCAGTAAAGATGTAGAAAATTGTAGGGAATGTAAACATTGGTTGGTTGAAAGATCATTTTAATAAGGTGATAATAAAGGGAAAATTCCAGAAGGTTGGAGAAACAGTTTTATTAAAAAGATAATATAAAAATTTGATCCAGGATATGTAATGAAGGTTTGTGAACTATTGTAAAATATTTGTATAGAATAGCAAAAAATATTAACGTAAAACAGAGTATATAGAGTATAACTTTGGAGGAAGATACCAAGAAGTTAAGGGTATGAGGAGACTAATGATGAAAAGTAGTAATGTGATAGGTGAAATCGAGAACTTTAAATATTTATGATCAATTATGGACAAGATGAGAGAAAATAGACTTAGATGGTTTGGGCATGTGATGAGACTAGAGGAACAAATGCAGTAAGAGTTCTTATGAAAATGAACGTTGAAGGGAAAAGAGGAAGAGATTTAAATATTTATAAACAGATAATCATTATTGATTTACTTTTGATAACATCAAATATACTCTAATCTAATTTTGATTTTAGAGTAATTTATAAGCTTTAATAAATTTATAAAACAAATGTTTGTCATTTTTTATTTCATATTTTAAAGACATTTGTTATCATTTTTATGTCATATTTTGAGTAATTTGGAAGTTTTGATAAATTTATATGGAATGTTAATAAAATATTTAAAAAAAAAAATGTATTTTTATTAATTTAAAACAAATATTTGTAATTATTTAGGTTATTTTATTATTTAGGACATTTTATATCATATTTACATCTTTTTTTAGGTAATTTTTTAATATTTTTAAGGTCATCAACTTCCGAGCTCTAGTTACAAGGCTGGTACGATGTTGCATTTGTGCTTCGCGAAAAAAATTAGAAAGCTGTATGTATTACAATTTAAAGAAATACCTATACATATATTAGTTTTATTAAATACAATGGCGTTCTATTTTTGTACTATTGTGTCATATTTTACATACGAACGACTGAGTAACTAAAGTATGCTCATCACTTTTATAATAATATTTTAATTTTATTTAAATAACTTACTCGTATATTTTTCGATATCTTAAATTTCTATACTCGCTATTTAATTTACAATTACTGCAATTACATAAAAATTATAATAATTTTAATGTTTCTGTGTATACTTGATTATAATTTTTTAATTCGAAACAGGTCCTAATTTAAAAATATAATATTATTTCTAACTACGCATTTATTTTTTTATTTTTACATACTATTTGTTTATTTTTTTATAAATTGTTATTTTTGTTTTTTGCAAGTATAACAGTAATCGAGTATTAAGACCAATATAAAAAAAATTCACTGCATTCTCTTACATCCACCCACCACCACGCAAATATCCAGTAAATAGAAAACTTAATCCCAGACATATTATATTATTTAGAGAGAGAAACAACTTTTATTTAATTATGAGCTGTCTACCGTATGAGTTGCCATAACTTTCAGCATACTATTCAATACACAAATACATCGGATCGTTTAAATTTACAATACGTACAAATAAAATTACGAAATTTATAACAAAAATAAACTATTTAATTTATATTATTTAAATATATAGTTTATTGATTTTGATTTTTCATTGAATTATCAGCTGAACAAATATGATTCATAATTGATAGGGTAACGTATACGTCAACGATTGTACAGTATTTTCGTGTACCTTTTATTTTGTTAACAAGAATAGAGTATGACACGTGTTTAAAGTTACCAATTCACAGACCATTTTTGTAGCACGTGCACGTGATTGGTTTTCTGTCATTGGCCATTGCAATACAACTATATGTATAACATGAATAGAGTGCAACTGTTATTTAGTATTGCCGACAGCCCGTACTATTACAAATTGCAAAAAATAAATTGGTATTTAAACTTGTTTAAAGTTTAAAATGAGAACATTGCCTAATTGTTACAATATATTATTTTCATTATACAATTTGTTTGAAAATATATTTTTTGAAATTTAGTCCATTGAATAACTAGAAACAATTTGTTGAAAGGTTTTGAAAATTAATTGCTAAATATAATTCATCTGATACAATGACTTGGATGAAAATAATAGTTAGATATTAAAAACATCTTAACTAATCATTAATTTTATCAATACATAACAGTAGAATACTTAGGTGGTAACCAAAATAAACAAATTAAAAGGTATCGGAACTACCGATAATTTGTATTTATATATGGCGATTGGTGAGTGTTGACTAACATGGAATATCAATTAAATCTATTGTTCGTATGCATGGATAAAATAATAAACACTAAGGGTGTTACTTATTTTTTGTTAAAAATATAATACAATACAAGTTTGCAAAATGATTAGTCATTTCCGTATACCTTCTAATCACTTAAAGCATATCTTTGTAGTTTTGTTTTATACACCATTGTATTTTTTCTATTTGCACAATTTTAACGTTTCATTATTTCAAAGGGTACTCGCCCTTAACCGGTAATGATCTTGCAAAAGTGAAACCACCCTTTTACAAAACCTGACTTGTTATGCATTTTAGTGAAAGGAAGGTAGTAAGTAATAAAACCTAACGTAACAATAGTGTTTCCTGCTTTTAAAAACATTGCACGATATTAATGAAGTGTGATTCATTAACTTCATTCATCAACGTCTTATGTTTTAAAACACTTAAATCAAAACATCCAAAAAATGTTGGCATATTTTTCTTAAGGGCTCCAGAAATCTTTGAAACCAAAGTTGAATTATAAACCATTTACGTATTGTATCTATTTTAGAAAAAATGTATAATATTTTATTTTAAATTTATCATTTCATTGTAATGTACTTCGTGTCAGCATGCTACATCATTAAGAAATTAATTTCTTTATTTTTATTTATTTATATTATAATTTCTTTTAACTAACGGTGATAAGTTCCAATTTAAAATGGCTGTGTATTAATATAAATTAAATAAATAAGAAATTCCACAATATGTGAATATTGTTAATACATATACAAAATAATTTATAAAAAATTAAATAATATATATAAAATATTTTTAATACATTTATTATATATTTAATAATATTAAGTTACTACAAAATAATGATTAAGTATAGTTGAAACACAAATAATAATAATAATGCCAGATATCTTTTGGATGTAAATATAATATTGAAATATAATATATAAGTAAGGGTACGTTAATTTTAGTCAAATGTATGCATTTTTTAAATTTATTAATTAAATCATGAAGACCAATGTTATTTTTCTGACAAAGAAAAATTCTCTGTTGTGAAAACAATCAATTGATAAATAAAAAAAAAATTAAAATATTATCTTAATGATAATTATATAAATAGTTGTAAATAATAAATAGAAAAATTAATTTATTATTAGAGACATTTATTTACAATATTATTCGAATGCGTTAATTTCTCATATGTTTTA